GAACGACTCGGCCATTTTAAGGTTATTAATGTCTTATCGACGTCTCTAACCTATCTTTAGGTCATATGGCANCTACTGCTGCATTCTAATATGATGGGAATGTCAAATTCAAATTTGTNCGGATTTAAGTGGCGGACCCTGTATTAAAATTTTTACATATTATCTAAAAAGTTCTGCTTTGATTTGTGAAAAAATAATTAAATTCATTTTGCTATACAATATACGTATGCGCAAAAATTAATTCATTTGTCACATATTTTAAAAGTAGATTTTAATACAGACGAGAATGATGCTGTGCCACGTGAGCCCATTTCTTTCTCAAATAAACTTACGATAGGTTAGCCAATACAATTGTTTACAATATTGTTTACTGTTTATCATTTTTACAAAAATGATAATTTTTTTATTTTACCAGGACGACAGAGATTACAACATCAAAAACTTTTTTCTTCAAAAGAGCAACTAAACTTATTTAGGAAAACTAAAACCCTAAGTGCTTCTACAACAGAGTTCTTAAATCAATAGAACACGATACTAATATGGAACGCACTGATGAAAGTAATGTTTATTTCTATTGAAAACTTTTAAATTTTATCTAAATAGTTTTTTATTAAAAAATTAGTTCTCTCTCTTTTTAGTTAATAGAGTTAAAATAGTTAAGATAATTTTCTATAAAAAACTNTTACATTATATCTAAATAGTTTTCCTTTGATATGTAAAAAAACAATAATTAAATTAATGTTTTTATACAGTACATATACACGTACATAACAAATTTAATANATTTGTCACATTTTTTTACAACTAGTTTGTGATACAGACGAGAATGATGCTGTGCCTCGTGAGCCCATTTCTTTTTCAAATAAATATACGATAGGTTAGCCAATACAATTTTTTACCATATTTTCTACTTTTTATCATTTTCACAAAAATTACAATTTTTTATTTTAACAAGACAACAGAGTTTACAACAAAAACAGCAAAACCGTATTCCTTTAAAAAAACAAGGAAACTTATGTAGGAAAAAAGAAACTCAAAATGCTTCTACAGTATTTCCTGAAGCAATGGAATATGATACTAATATGGAATACGATACTGATAGAAGTAATGTTTATTTACATTCAAAGTTGTTTTTTACATTATCTAAAATTTTCCTTTAATATGTGAAAAAACAATAATTAAATTAATGTTTTTATACAGTACGTATATATACAAAAACTTTAATACATTTGTCATATTTCTTTAAAGTAGATTTTGATATAGACGAGAATGATGCTGTGCTCTTTTCTTCTTTAAATAAATTTACGAAAGGTTAGTTAATATAATTTTGTACAATATTGCTTAAAGTTGATCAGTTTTACAAAAATTATAAATTTTTTTTATTTAAACAGGACGACAAGGTTTACAATTGCAAAAACTCTTGCAGAATAAAGACTGTGAGTAATATAAAAAAAGTTGGAGTTTTATTAGTTTTCCTTAATATAATAACTTCTCATGCAACTATATAATTTCAGATTTTAAGAAATTTGTTATATCGGAACTTCTTGAAAATGCATCACATCAAAAAAACTTTCACTATTCTTCATCAAAAGAGCACGATCAGTTATATTTTGATAATCTTCCGTATATCGATAATGTGGAATCTTTAATGCAATTTGATAACAAGTTAAAAACTGACAAAGTTTACAGAAATAAAGTGGTAAGTTAATTAAAAA